TATTGTTTTTCCTTTATTGCCTCAGTCCAGGCTGGTAAATGTTCAGCAGTAAATAGCTGCAGTGATTAGTCTAACCCAGACTCCATCACCTCTGGGACATCCCTTCAGTCAGTACCCTTTAGCCAACTGCCACCTTGTGGTGATGGAGCAGATTTTAAAATGCTTTACTTGAAACAAGCCACAGCTGGGTATAAACAAAAGATACTTTCCTTCTATGGCTGTACCCGCTTAGGGAGAGAAGAAAAAGGGGGCTTAATGTATTACGTTCCAGTTTTCTATAATACCATCCTTGCCCCTTTATTTAAAATAACATTGATGCCTCTTGTTTTTTCCACCACAGACATCTTCTAATATCCCTCTCAAAGTAAACAGAACATTCCCTTGTCACAAAGAAAAAGTAACACCAACCAATATAACCACCATTTCAGACAAAATAAGCAACATTAAACACCCATAGTTCCCCATCTATCTACCTAGAGAAGGGAGAAATATTGGTCACTGCCTTTTAGGCTGAATTCAGTGCCCATTTAATGTTTGTTCAGCCACTCCCCATTAAATGGATACCCATTTTCATTCATCTGTTTTGTTTTTGCTACAATGCTCTTAAATTTGTCATATATGGGACCTTGTGTTCTAATTTTGACCCCCTTAGGGTACATAACCTTTAACAGGATAGTTGGGTTAAAGGGTGTTGTTTTTCTAACATTGTTCTAAACTGTTTTCCAGAATTATCAGACCAATCTACAGCCTCTCCAACACTGTACCCGTTTTTGTTGTTGTTGTTGTTTTTTGGTGAGGGCAACTGTGGTTAAGTGACTTGCCCAGAGGCCGGATACTCCAGGCCTGGTGCTCTATCCACTGCACCACCTAGCTGCCCCAACTGTATCCATTTTTTAAGAATTTTTTTTTGGCCATTTCATGTATAAAATGTCAAACTTTCTCTTTGTTAGGAAAGACAAAAGCATTTCCACTTCAGCCTAAACATGTCAATTTTCTATAGGACACCATGAAGTGAAGGCTTCATTTCCCCATCACTCCTACTGCGTGATTATAAACTTCAACACTGACTAGCTGTGTGATCTTAGCCAAATCAACTTTCCTGGGTCTCTGTTTTCTCACGTATAAAATGAGTAAGTTGGGCTACATAAACTCTTTGTTGTTGTTCAGTCGTTTTCAGTTGTGTCCAATTCTTCATGACCCCATTTGGGGTTTTCTTTGGTGAAGTTATTGGAGTGTTTTGCCATTTCCTTCTCCAGCTCATTTTACAGATGAGGAACTGAGGCAAACAGGGTTAAGTGACTTGCCCAAGGTCACCCAGCTAGTAAGTGCCTGAGGCCTGATTTAAACTCAGCAGGTCTTCCTGACTCTAGGCCTGGCACTCTATCCACTGTGCCACCTAGCTGCCTAGATAATTTCTAAGATTTATCAATTCATATTAGAGCTGGATGAGACTTAAGAGTTTATCTTGTGCAATTCCCCTCCTTAGAGATGAGGAAACTGAGGTCTAGAAAGGCTGAGTGACTTGCCTTCACCAAAAGAAGACTCAAGATCACAGTGAGCCCACTCTGGTAAAGCTAGGAACTAAATCCATGTCTCCTGTCTCCTAGTTCTAGTATTCTATCTACACCCTTGCCTGCCAATTCTAAAATTTTGACTCCGATCCTGTAGTCATATTCCTGAAAAGCGGAGAATTGTTTCCCTAGTTTGTTTCTTGGTGAGGTGAAAAAAAAACTTACCCACACAGTTTTAGGTACATCTGTCATTTGACTAGTAGCTTTGTTGTTGTTGAGTTGTGTTCAAATCTGCATAACCTCATTTTAGGGAGCTTTCTTGGCAAAGATATTGGAGTTGTTTGCCATTTTCTTCAACTCAATTTACATATGAGGAAACTGAGACAAACAAGGTTAAGTGACTTGCCCAGGGCCACAGAGCTAGTGTCTGAGGCCAGATTTGAATTTAGGTCTTCCTGATTCCCACTCTGGTACTCTATCCACTGTGTCACCTAGCTGCCCTTACTAATGTCTTAACGCCTTCTAATAGTGTACTGAACATGCACAGGAGACCGGTAATCGCCATAGCAAATCCTCTGGCTATTCTGACTCACGGGTGATCAGATGGGCAACTCAATGACAAACTTTCAGGTTTTTCAAAATGTCTGGGAGCAGGGATGCAGGGGTTTTAGCAGAACAAAAAGGAAACAGGTTGATGATGCCAGTAAACTACTACTAGTTGAACTTAGAGGGAGGGTGCCATAGCTTAAAGCTGATAGATGCTGGTTCAAACGTATTTGGTCAAAAGTAGGGGGTGGGAAACCTGTACCAAGAGGAAGATCAAGATAATGTGTTTGGCAAAGAAAAGGTAACAAGCAGCAACAGTGACACTGCTGTAAGCCACATGGTTTTCCTAACTTCAGGCAGGTGTTCGTGACCAGTATGGGATTTCTCCCCACGACAAAGATTTGCCAAAAATCAGTAGAAACCAAACAGCCAGTGTGTTACTAAAATCATATTTATTGCAGTTTCCAGACTTCATGTACAGTACTTATAACTACATCAGAACATTGCAGATTCACATTAAGGTTCTTAGCAGCAATTTGTCTCTAAAGAGCAAATGTTTGGATGAACCTGACAATTAGAAGCAATTTACAAAATAGATTCCAACTCATGGTTTTTCCCATTTTAGCTGGTATCTGAATAGTGCAAATAGGAATGCCTATGTTCACCCCAGTTTAGCTTTTTCTAGAAAAAGAGTGGTAAGTCAGGGTGTAGATAGATATCCACAGAACCCCTGGGGGATAAGATACCAATGAGAAGGGTTCTTGAGACAGGTGTAAGAGGTAAATAACCTACTTTTCCCAACATCATCTGCTGTTTGCTTTACTGTCATGACAACTAGGGTCCTAGACCAGGGGGGTGCCTCTGGAACTAGAACACTTGATAATCAGGCAGCCAGTCTTACCTTAAATAATGCCCTTTTAAAAAGTTAAATATTTTCCCCAGATATAACAAGATGATAACACTAATTGTAGTTGCATTTTGTTCCAAAGCTATGAAAATCAAAAGCAAGTGCAAAAGTAGTGGGACTGACTTTCATATCTTTCCTGAGACAGTTCCCATCTTTTCAGAAGGGATAAAAAAAAAAAAGCCAACCATATGCCTTCATGTAAGTTGATCAAATTATTCTTCATCCTAAGTGAATACATGATAGACTGAAGGTCTCTGGTATACTTATTTTTCTCCCCTAGATCTCCTGAAACATTTTAAGCTGCTGTTTGACATAAATCTTTTCTATTAGCTGAGAAAAAGAGCCCTTCCAAACATGTCCAAAAAGACTCGAGCATAAAGAGCAAAGGACTCTTAATCCTTCTCCTCCTTCCGTGCCCCTGGAACTCTGACCAGAACCCTCCAGTCTTACTGTCTAGTAATCAAATCAATTTGCCAGAAAAAAAAAAAGTAAGCCGGTTTTTCCAACATGAATTAGATGGGTCAGGCTTTCCTTGCTTGGAACCACTGAAGAAATCCTTCTGGAGATCACTCTACCACAGTCATTTCTTAGAACAAACACTGAGTGCTGACTATGTACATGGTTGTGAGACACAGAGACTTAAGGCCAAATAAATGATTAAAGCCTTACTGTTTAAAAAGATTCCATTGAACTTTGTACCTGACCTACTGTGAAATAAGAAATTCCAAAGATTATGTATTTAGAGGTCATTATTACTCCTGTATCAACACCTGTATCATGATAGAATTTGCCTTAAAAAAAAAAATGGGGGGTTGGGGGTAGCACCAGTGAATGGCTGAATATCTTTGGATGCTGTTTGTCCTAAATGGCAAACATTTAGGTGAATCTGACTTGTGGAAACAATTTACAAAATATAGTCCAATGTATGATTTTCCATTGGCAACTAGTATTAACAGTAGCTCAAAGAAATATCAATATTCACAACACACTTGGCCTTTTCTAGAAAGATCGGAACAGACCAGATCAACTAGCCCACATGGATTCTGCACAGTTCTGTCTACATAGGGGAGAATAGAGGAGCTCACTTATGGTTGCCTGACTTTTCATGGCAACAATTTCTGCACAAGGAAGTCTCAATTAGTGCAAACAATGAATCCCTGAAGGGGTTGAATGTATTTGAATTCGCAATATTTGAAGTTACAACTATTTAAAAAAATAATTCCAGCCCAATGGAAATAGAGAATGCAAATTTGAATGTGATGACCCTTTTAGCTGGGCTCATTTGCATTAAATGAGACCCAGCTATGCTTCTAGCTTACAGTTTTGTTAATTTATTGTTCTGATTTGATACACACAACCTGTGCAAAAATAGTGTTCAAAGTCTTAAGTTATACACACTGCTAACCCTGGCCAGCCAGATTGCACTTTTGTCCAAAAGATAGAAAGGGTAAAAAAGGTCCAGATAATTCAGCAGCGATCTGTCCTTACTACTGGAAAAATAACGTAAAGTGCATATCCTTTTAATGGTGGGTGAGTTTGTAGTAACAACTCTGTATGCACAAGATGGCTCTTGAAATTAATTTGGCAAACACATGAAGCTACCTATTTCCCTTCCCACCCAATCTAGTAATCAATAAGAGACTTCAACTAATCCAAAGAAGTTTCAGCTCTTGAAATGTTTAAATGATTTATTACACATAGTGGTTATCTTGCCAAAATAACATGATACTGTCTATCTCAACCAGGTTCACTCCATACAGGCTATATTGTTTTAAGGTCTTTTTACTAGATGAATCAGGCTGGATGCTTCTAAAAATCTTATTTTCCCCTTTCTTACCTTTTCCCTCATTCTGATGGTTATGACTTTAGTTACATTTATTGCAACCAACGCGAGTTTTCAAAGATTATATCTTTGAGCAACAGATAAAGGCCTAAGGAGTGATTTTTCCTTTTTAAAATATTTTTTTAGGAATAAAGAGATAGCATTGTTGTTCTTTTCCAAGCAGCACAGATGAGTTGTTTTAAAAAGACTGTTCTGTGAAGTTTTCAACACAATACCATCTTATAGTTTTTTTTTTTACTGTCTAGACAGTAATCATTGCAGAATTAACACTGAAGCCACAGCCAAGAAGACAGTCATGATGTATATGATCAAGTATGATGAATCATATACAACTTATAAAATACATTCAGATGAACAGGGTTCTGAAACTGGATGGAAAAGTGGTGAACTCCTGCACACAAGGAGTAACCTGTACACTTTAGATGCAACCATGAAATTATTTACCATTTAAAAAAAATTAGGCTATGTCTAATGGAAATCAGTCAGCATGACTAGTGAAAATTAAACATGTTTTTCCTAAGTCCCTTTGGTTATTTTCCTAGGATATGTTTTTCTGGGAAAGTGAGCATTTGCTATAGTTTTTAGCCTGGGGGCAAAGGCGGGGAGAGCTGAAATGGTGATATTGTTAGTTGGGGCTGATGCCCATGTTGCCACATATACCCTCCCCAATAAAAAATTTAAAGACTTAACTCTATCGGAAAAATATTTTAAGTATCACAAAACTGAATCCACTAATTTTTTCAAGTTTCAAAGGGGAATTTTCTAACTCTAGCATCTATAATTAGGTTCTAGAAGTAGTTACTTAAAAATTATTTTAAAATTAAAGTAAAAAGCTCCCCATGATTTTCCTTTTGAAGTTGAGGCACTTTTAGGGACTTGTTCTTTTGTTGGCACTATAACCCCCTAGAATAGTCCAAGGCAGATTCTTTGTAAATACCAAAGGAAAAGACAAAGAACGGGGAGGGATAAGGAGCGAGTGATTCCCAAATTGCCATCATCTTCACATATGTGGTATTTTCCTAAGGAATACAATTACTCCTTAGAAGTTGAGAATGGAACACAGACCTTCCTATAAAATGGTTCCTAAGAACCTGATAGTCTTTTGGTTTTAAAATTATGGGAAAAATCACATATATCCCTAATGACAAATAATGACTATCTTACATAGCACCTGCCTTTACCACAAGATAATGAAACCTTAAAAAGCTAGGGAAGAGTTAGTAAAACCATACCTGGCACTTAAATAACACACTTTGTCTTCAAAATGCTTTTCAGGTTCTTCTTCCCAATACCCCTGTGAGGTAGGTGTCTTATCTCCCCATTTGACTGATGGGGACTGAGGCAGCAAGGGGTTACACTGACTTACCTACAGTCACAAGATGAAAAAGCAGCAGGACCCAAGTCAGCTTTCTATACCTGAGCTCCCCCTCCTTCTCTAAGGGTTTCTGCCACAAGTTACGCAGCACTTTTTCTTCCATATACTTGAGCAACTAACCATATAGTGAGCTTATTCTCATTCTGCACAAAAATTAACTCTTGCTGTAGGAAAAAAGAAAAAAAAAAGAAAAGAAAACAGTCAACCCAAAAATAGTCAAGTATTGCCTAACAGTCTGTTTCAGGATGTAGCCTTTTCTGCACTGGCTGAGTTAAAGAGCAAAGAATCATTACAGTAGAAGCACAACAGGTTTGCTGGAAGTCACATATCCACGGTGTTCTTGTTGCACGTACCATATCTTGGGCTACAACGTCCCTCTGACGTGAACACTGCCTATCATCACAGCTTGCAAAAGCCTCTTTGGCCAGATACGACGGGAAAAAAATCTCCCCATTTCACATTAGAACCAAACTAAAAAGCACCCTTTGTTCCCCACTCCAGGAGAGGGAGTTGTAGCAGTTAAGGTATGTATATGTTACTGAGTTCATGCTGAACTCACAAGCTAAATTAAGCATAGCAATTTCCATGGCACCACAAATGCCACACAGCTCACAACAACTCATACTGTACTAGACGCCATGCCACACCAGCTCATGCACCAACAGCATGCCACACAAGTCAGAGACAGGAAAAGGACAAGAAGACAGGACACAATTCCCATCTGGTCCACCATATGTGGTAACTAACTTTATCAGGACAGTAAACAAATTAATCAAGCTACTGGATTCACAATGACAACAGGGACAACTATGGTGCGTTTACTGCTGGGGGTTTATAACATACCACTTGTATACATCCCACCTTAATACAAGTTGGTGGGCTCCATGGATGTTAAGAATGCTCAATAGAGTTTATAAATTCTAGTCCCTGATCAGGAGAAAGTCCAGAAAGGTCAATGATGTAACGTAAAATGCAGCAGTCAGTGCAGGGATGGCAGCCCAATTCATACCACTATCTGTTAAAAAGAAATTCCATGAATATTCGCCACAGATACCACACCATTTTAAGAATGGATTCCCTTTTCATGCTGTGGTATCTGTGGTGAATTATAGACACACCATGACCCTAGTAGAGTCAAAAAGGCCATAATTTTTCTAGTTTATCTCAAGTATTGATAGTAACACACAAAACCACATCTAATTTATATCTATGTATAAATGAATAGATCTATATTTTATAATGATGCCTTCTGCCTCTGAACAGCCACCCATTCTAAAAAGGGTCGGTCTTCTTCATGTGGTACCATGCTGTCCCCATCTTTGTGGACAAGCAGATATACCACAGGGTCCTAGACTGAGTTCCTTCCCCTCTACATTCAAGATCAGAGGGAATCATTCCAAATTAGCTTTTCACTGAGATGCTAAGAAGCACAGTGCAAATACAATTCATGCGGTTTATTTCTAAAAATAAAATACTCAAAGCTCAGATGATCACTGGGCAAGATGGACAAGTAGAACATTCTCTCCTCGGATAAATATCTGGTTAATGTGCCGTGTGAATACCTGCTGGTAATCCACTTTGGGCTTCTGCCTTTTCTTACGAGACCGGCCCCTTGAATTAGAACCCCCTGCACTAGAGCCCTCTGTCCGTGTAGTCCTGCCTGACAGGTCAGACCTGGAAATTTCCTTTCCAGCTGCCAGAAGCGAAGAAGGTGCTGAACGAGAACGTTTCTGTGATCCCCGATCCTCATCATCTCTCCCCCACACCGTGGCCATCTTCCAAGTAGATGTCTGTGAATATCGAGACAATGTGGAGTCCTCAACCATCGACCTGGAGTCAGCTTCCTTTTTGGAGGAATCCTGAAGTTTGAGCCGATCAAACAGCTACAAGGAAACAAGTCAAACGTTATCTGCTCTCTTGACATTTCTATATTCCCCTTTAAAAACATGCATTTCTATCACTTTAAGGACTGTGGCTTTACCTTTGTAAATCAGTTAACAACAATTTCTCCTATTCTAACCAGCAGTTAAGTCAATAAAGAGATAATAAAGATAAAAGTCACCTGCCATATTATGTGACATTATGTTATAATGACAAACAGGTTTATTTTTATATTGAACTAAAAGACATTTCATCTTCAGGTGATGCAACTTGTTACACAAGTCACATATAGATCAGACTTAACTGGGGTGTATGGTAGAGAATAATCAAGATTCTACCACCATCATATCTTGCTTCCAGCAATTAAGGGTTTCATTAATTGGAAATATGGAGAATAATGACACCAGTCCCTACATACCTTACCTCTGTGCTCCACCTTCCTTCCCCCATCCCATCCCAATACCTTATTTCCTAATATTGAAAGCATACTGGGTTGCTGGTAAGTAGGAGAAAACTTCTTACCCTGGTGAGAGTTAAAGGAGGTTCACGTTCAAATGCTTTGCCCAGAACTGGTTTTCTGTAAGTCTCGTCCACATCAGTAAGTGCCTTTGAAGAAAACAAAAAGAAAAATTGAAAGTCTTGTCAAAAATCATAGCAGATTCAATGCTTTCAAAAATAGCACTCTCATCACTGGGCAGTCACAACCATTAGCTATCTTGGTTCACAAGAAGAAGAAAATAAGTAGCACTGGTAACAAAAAACTAAAAGCAATCTTCATACTATTTCCAAATCATCTATGGCCAAAGTTCACAAAGCCTCAAAAGTTCACTTTTACTTGTGATCCTTATTCATTTTTTCCCCTGAAAATCCTCTGGCAACACCAAAATGTGACTCCTGGATTTCTCTCATTTCCATTTTGGGGGCCATTTCAAATACTCCCTAGGTTCCTTCCCCTTCTCTGCAATTTACATTAGTAACTAATAGGAAATGACTCATGTTACACACAAGCCATTAATGACTCCCTAGTCAATCAGATCTCATGACATCACTACTATAATGTATTAGTTATCACCAACTACCTTCCCTTTGATAGTACTTAAGAATAAGACGTCACTTGTCAAATCTGTTTAGGAAAATGTATATGGGGTGTGTTAAAGTGCACTGAATAACTTGGAAAAGTTGTAGGAGGAAGGTAGCTACAACTGCAGAAAAAGAAACTCCAGAACGATGACACCTACATATTATCTTGTGTTATAGTTATTTGTGTCCATGTCTTCTCTCCATTACTAGACTGTAAGTTCCTGGAGGGCAGTGTCTTTGTCTTATATATCTTTGTATCCCCCCTATAATGTCCAGCACAGGGCTTCACATCTAATAGATGCTCAAAGAATACCTGTTGAATGAATGGATAAGAGAATTGGATCTGGAGGTAAAGGAAGCAAATGGAGCACAGATCTTTGCCTATTCCAGCAGAGTTCAAGGACACAGCTCTTCTCTAACACAATTATCAGTATAATTGTTATTCTAAAAAGGTTATATTGATTCCCTAATCAAATAAAGGGGTTAATTCCTATGAGATTTTTTCCCAATCCCATAAAAAGAACTAATTACCATATTCCAGAACTTGTCAAATGCAACCAGGAAGCCAGAGCAGACGCCCCGAAGCCCCTTGAAAGTGCGAATGTGAACATTGACCTTCACCCCCTCTCGGATGCAGCGATGAAGTTCACCCAGTGGGCTGCCCTCATGCACTGGAATAAAAAAAGAACAACAGTCAGGGTAGCACAAGAATGTCTATGCCAAAAGTCATTCAGACAGAGCTCCTTACTAGAATGATCTACTGAATAAAATGCAATATATTTTCCATTTTCCGTCTACCTTTGTAGTGTACAACTTCTTTTTATGTACACCATGCTCTAGTAAAACTGAACTACTCCCTGTTCCATGAATATAACCCACATATCACACTCTATTCTTCACAATGCAGCTCTGCCCAACCCTTTCCCCTCCTTCAACCACACAGGAGGAAGAACACCAGGCTGGGGGAGACACTCATCTAGGCAAGCTGGTGGAAGTAACTAAAGCCCTACTATACTCCTGGTCCTTGCCCAGCAACAGCTCCCTTTCAAGATTGTGAGCATCACTATTCATCTGCCACCCACTAGTACCACCACAGCTAATAATTCACCACTTTTTCCTCTCCCCATCCCTAGATCACTCATATACCCACCACATAGGAACAAACTATTCTCAATCTCCACCTCCCATTCTCTTATTCCCACCCTCCTTAACCTCACTATACTCATCTCCTACCTCAACCCTGCCCACCCGTTCCACTGTGCCCTCTGGAATTCCTTTTCACAGTGAATAAACTTCCTTTCATTCTGGACCTCTTCCTACCATTCTCCTATCTCCTGACCTCCTTAAGAAAGAGCTTCTCCCAGATGACTGCACCTGGGATTATTCTCTCCATCAGTATTCTAAACTGTGACACCCTGAAGGAAAATCACAATACTCAGCGCTTCCCCACTGTCACTTCTAGACTCTCCTGCTACTGATGTCACTCTGCAACTTCTCTGCTTTTTAATTCACTCAGCTAAAGTTTTCCGCCTCATCCAGAAAATTCGTAGCAGCTGGCCTCCAGGCCATTCTCTCTCTTTTTAAAAGCAGGTCAGTTCCCGGCTCGCCTTCTTCCACATCACTGCAAGTCCTAGCCTTAAAGTTGGAGATTTCAAATACCCATGCTGATGCTCCTCCAGATTACCTGACTTTCCAATTTTTTGGTCTCTTTCACGACATACTCCTTAATTTTACCTAAATAACACACAGGGATGGTTAGACCCTGGCTCTCACCATTATACACAACTGTTCCACTTTATTCAGAAACTCTGACATTCTCTATCTGACTTTTTCTCCCAGCATCCCTTTCTCCCAGCATCCCACCTCTCCCTATGTCTCATCTCTCCTAAGTCTATTCTTCACTTTGATTGGAACTTTCAATTCCCCTTCCTTTCAATATATTTTTAGGCTATTACCTCTTCTCTGCTTCATTTTCTTCTTTTTCCAATCTTGGCTCCACAAGTTCATAGAACCAACTCCAAACCATTCTCCACTACTACTAAACCTACTTTACCAAATCTCAGACTTACATTCCTCCTACCATCCACCTCCTCTATTCCTATTCACATAATGCTGAAGAGAGCTAGAGGAAGTCACACAATAATGCCAACTGGATGTATCATACATTCCTTGTTATCCAACTTCAACTTTGCTTTGTCCCTGCAACAAAGCATCTTGTGTTTTCTCTTCTCCCCTTCTCTTCATCTCAAAACCTTTTGATATCATCTCCCACTCTTCCTCCTTTTTCTTAGTCTCTGACAGAGAGGTGGACTTTCTCTGTGCCAGGGCCAACCCCTCTCTACATGTTCCCTTGATCATGTCTCTTCCCATTTTTTTTCCAGTAGATGGCGACCTTAACTACCAAACTCTTAATTTTCAACCTCCCTTATACACTGGTTCCTTCCCTACTATCTTCAAATATGTCCAAGTCTCTCTTCTAATGAAGTTAAAAAACAAAACAAAAAAACAAAAACCTTCACTAGAAACTACTATCTTCTCAAGCTACTGTCCCATATCTCTTTTCCATTTCTCAGCTAAAGTCCTATTAAAAAGAAAATGTCCATACTCACTGCCTCCACTTTCTCCCTTCTCCCTCACTCCCTAACTAACCCTTTGTAATCTGGCTACTGACCTCATCACTCTGCTAAAATTGCTCTTTCCAAAGTTGCCAGCAATGTCTTAATCAACAAATCTGATGGTTTTTTCTCAGGTCTCATTCTTCTCAACTTACCTGCTGCATTTTACATTGTTGACCACTCTGTCTTAACAGAAATTTTCTCCTCTCTCAGCCTTTGTGACACTACTTTCTTGGTTTTCATCTGACATGTCTAACTGTTCCTTCTCAGTCTCCTCTGCAGTTTCATTATTGATGCATGGCCTTTAAATCTGGGTGTAGCCCAAGAGTCCTGGACTCTTTTCACTCTCTCGACACTCTCTTGGTGACCTCATCAATTCCCATAGGTTTATTATCACCTCTAAGGAGATGACTATATCTTTACATCCAACCCTAGTTCCCTCTCTTAAGCATCAAGTCCTGAATTGTCAATTAAGTTACTGGGCATTTCAAACTGGATGTCCCATAAAAAAATCTCAAAACTCAACATGTCTAAAACAGAACTTATCATCTTTTCCCCAAAACACACTCTTTTTTTTCAAACATCCGTATTTCTGTTGAAGGCATCACCATTCTTCAGTTTTCCAAGTCCATAACCTTGGTATTACCTTCAGCTCCTCACTCCCCCTCAGCTAGTTTTGGCATATCAGTTGACAAATCTTGCATTTCTTCTTCCACAATATCTCTTGATTTTAGCACCTTTCCTCTACTCACACAGCCACCTTAATTCAAGTCTTCCTCAACTCTTGCCTAAGTATGCAATGGCATCCTAAATGGTTTTCTTTCAAGTCTCACCTCATTCCAGTTCATCTTAGACACTATCACCAAACTGATTTTCCTTAAACACAGATTTAACCATGTCACTCCATGCTCAATAAACTCCACTGGCTCACTACTGCCTATAGGATAAAATATCAACTCCTTTGGTTAAGCTTTTAAAGCCTTTAACAACCTGGCTACAACCTTTCTTTGACTGCAATCCAGCTAAACAGATCTTTATATATTCTTCAAACATGACATTCCGTTTCTCACCTTCATGCTTTTGCACTGAAAATGCCAGGAATGTACTCCTTCCTCACTTCCAAATAAAAGAATCCTTCTCTTCCTTCAAGACAAAGTTCTAGCGCCACTTTCATGAAGCCTTTCTTCATCCTCTCCTCAACTGCTAGTGCCTTTCCTCCCAAATTACCTCATATTTTTCTAATATATCCTCCCTATCTCACCAGCTTGAAGAAGGCTCCCTGAACAATCCCAATCAAAAAGGGTCTTTCTGTCATCAGAAGTTTAATGGCACTAGGATTGTACTTGCTTATGCACTTACCATGCTCTCTTCTGCATTATGGTTGTGCAGGTATCTTATTCCCCTAATATACAGTAAGCTCCTTAAGGGCTGAGTGTTAGTCTCCTCTATCTTTGTGACTCTCAGAAACCAGCAGAGCACCCCACATACAACAGGCATTTAATAAATGGATATGAATGAATTTTAAGCTCTGCCCAATCCCCAGAAAAGTTTATGTTGTGATGTCTCATTGTTGCATTCCCCACACAAAGCAAAATGGCAAGTCCCCAAAATAACATAGCTTAACCATGTACGTATGAATGTATGTATGTACACACACAGAGATATGTAGATATACATACATATTTTATAATATATGTGATCTGCATCATCCACTAGGAGGAAGATTTTATTCTTACATTGGCTCATTCTATTAGCTATCATATCAAATCTAAACAGTCCTGTCTTCAAAGCCTTCTAACAAAAGGTTCAGTCCCATTCACCTGAATATTTCCCATTCCATTTGGCAAACTTTCTACTCAAGTCAATTTAATCTGTTTCCCACATAATCTGTTATATATAACTGTTCTTCTTAACTCTGTGCCATAAAATACTGCTTTTAAATAGGTTCTTCTTGAATTCCATTTCTATCTTGATTTATAAAAAGAACTCAACATGCACATGTTTAGAGGAATGAAAAACTTAATAATTTGCCCTAAATACACATAATACTAAGATATCTACAAACACTGTCTGGATACAAGAGCAAGGTCTACTCTATGTCTGGACTCCGTTCAATGAAAAACATTTCACCATACATTGTCTTCATATCAAGAGAAATATTGGTTATAACCAAGCTATGATGGTATAAAAGGCACATGCCACGCATCTGGATTCCATAAGACTGCAAATAGGGCCATGTAAAAGTAACATTATGACTCAGGAGGAATTTGGGGACTATGAACTTCAGCTTTTACTGTTCAATTCAATGAGGGAGCCTTTTCTAAGTGCTTAGGGACAGTGCTGAATTTCATAAAAATTGTTATTATTTAATTTTAAGTACTCACAGCCTGCTAGCTGTACCAAAGATAGACTAAGGCAGAATCATTTAGAATGTACATGCGCCAAAGACCTTTTCTGTTGACTTCTTACTCTCTGTTGTTGTTAGAAAGAAAAATATTAGTCTTTGCTCTTGTTTAAATTTCTGGGTTCCTATTTCTCCCTACTCTACTTATGGCTTGGTGTAATCCAGACATGGATTAGTAGTGGAAATTACTTTCTGAGGAAGTGGAGGAAAGAGGCTTAGGAGATGTGACATGGGAAGTTACTTCACCTTGAAAAGTCAACAGGAGAGAAAGTTTGGCACAAGTTCACTTCCTGCTCTAAGATTCTACGATTTTAAATAGGGACACTTATGGGAAATGTTTGAACTTTGCTTTAGTCTTCCATCTCTCCCATAACATGATTTCTAATAATATCTAATAGTATTTAAAAAAGAGTTGGAAGAGATTGCTGACTTTAAAGTTCTACTTCACCCACACATTTTCAAATACACAAGAGTCAAAAAGGTGAGTTTTAATTTTTGTAAGCATTATTAACTTGTAATATTGGCATTATTATATACTATTACTACCATATCTGGATATGTACCAATAAAGTTGGTGATCTTTCTGTGCATGTTCCTGAAATAACTTACAGGTATGTTTAAATTCACCTTTGTTACTTACTCACCCTTGTATATACTGCTCTCTCTCACTCTCTCTCCATACACACACAGAGACACGTACACGATGTATATACACACATGTATTTATACACACACATATATAATGTATACACACATGTATTTATATATACATACACATATAATGTATATATGTTTATATATGTATACACACATACATATATATACCTGCTAGAAAAATCTCTTTCTAACAATGTTATCATCATCTTACTCCCCTGCTTTAAAATCGAGGGTGGCTCCTTACTTTTAGCAGATCAAATCTATGCTTAAGTCTGACGTATGAGGTCCTCTACCAAAACAACCTTCTGCCTCCCACTCCTTATCTCAGAGTTCATTTCTCTTTGTGACCAACACCAAGTATCTGCTCCACCAAAGCAAATCTGCTTATCACCCTTTGTATATGACTTGTGCATCTGCACCTTTACATATCTGCACATACCTTTCTACTTCTCTTTTCCAACCTCTGTCCTTTCCTTCCTTCAGAGGCTAGGGTTCACTTCCTTTAGGGAGCTATTGCCAGCCTAATGATTCTTTATTTGGTGTTCACGTGCTCATTCTGCTCTAGGCATTATCACTGAAGCTCTTGCTTTGTGAATGCTAATAATTCTTTTTATGCACATGTGTCATACATACCTAACTGCTTCCAGTGATAATGAGAGATTTCTGTTCCCAGTACAAGTTTTCCAAGCACACCAGGCATGATTTGGGCTGTGGGAGAGTTGACCCTGCAGTTTTTATCAATTCAAAGGATCTCAGAGTACTGCTTCCTAGAACTAATTGTTCCAAGAATTTTCTATGGTCTCACCAATGTTGCATTTTGGCAATAATGCAACACAACTATGAAGATACTGGCCTTCTAATTAATTAGTGTTACAATTTAAGACCTAGCTAGACCAGTCTAATTCACAGAGGAGATATAAGCCCTTATTGTTCCCATTTAGGAACAACTTATAGATATGCTATAGACAGGCAACATGAGCTATAAATTCATGGAAGGAATCCTATGGCACCATAAATCATTTACCTTAACTTATTACACCTCTATGTCTTGTCAGCGGAGATGTTCTTTTTCAATAAACAAACCACTAAGAGAAACCTAAACATCACTCATTTAACACACTGGCTTATTTAAGAGGCATATTTTAACAATTAAGCTATCAGGATACAGATGCTCTGAATGGCTAAGTAGGTCGTTGTGTTCACTGGGCAGATGTCAGAACTGCCTGCCATATGACAAAGGTATAAGCCTGGCTGTGTTTATTACATTTATACAAGACCCAAATTGCACATTCTAGCAATCTGTCTCCTACAACTCTCCTATCAGAATTATTAAGAGGTTCCCAGAAATTCTCTCATGCTATCTGAACCTCTGGAATTTAAAGATATCCATAATTACAGTAATATGAATACACACACACAGTTCATGCACCCAGAAGACATACAAAGTGTTTTTCTCAGTGGCAGCCACTGAATGCCAAATTTCAGATCTTTTGATTAAACAGTGTATGTTTAAAGATTCTGGAGTCTACAGAAGACCCCTTTCATCATCAGAGGGAAAGCCAGAAGAAAAGAGAGAGACTAAGACACTGCTAAGAGTAGTGATCTTTATGCTGTCCACAAACCCACCATAAGGACACTTAGCTGCAACTGCTGGCCCAGCTGACATTCTAATCAACTATGTATGGATCTTCCCTCAAACCAGATCAAACAAAAACCTTTCCTCAAATCAGCCAAGTACTCATTTCAAATCAACCATCAGACTATCCCTCCTATCAGCCATGTCTTACACCCTCCCCACATCACCTCATATCAGCCATGTAGACTCTGTTCACATTCCCAATCAGCCATGCAGACTCTCCCTAAATTCTCCTATATCAGCAAGGAATATCCTCCCCATATCTGCTGCAAAGACCTTGTATAAATCTTCATATCAACCATACTAATCCCCCAGTATGTCTCATATGAGCCATGCAGACTTTTCTCCCTATCAGTCATGCAGACCCCTCCCATTCCCAATATCAGGCATGCAGACTCTTCCTAAAATTCCCCACTGCATCGGTACAGACACTTCCCACATTTCCCTATTTCATGGAATCACAGGATTATAGGATCATAGATCTAGAACTGGAAGGGAACTCAGAGGCCATCTGTCATAGAGACATTCCAGACTAGCTTCCTTATTATTAGTCATGCAGACCCTCTCCCCACATCCCCCATAACAAACATGCAGACCCTCTTTAAAACTTCTCTATCAGTCAAACAGACCCTCTCCATACGGCCCCCATATCAGCTACAGAGACCCTCTGGCTCATCCTCTCCAACAATCAAGCAAGACCATCCCCTCATATCAATAAAACTGGACACCGCTCTGTATTAGCTCTGCAGACCCGCCTCACATCAGCCGTGCAGACCCTCCCCTCATCCCATCAGCCGTGCAGACCCTCCTCACCCCAACATCAGCTGTGCAGACCCCCTTCACCCTGCCCCATATCAGCCATGCAGACCCTCCTCACCCCATCCCACCCCGGCCGTGCAGACCCCCCCCAGCTGTGCAGACCCTCCTCACCCCACCAGCCGTGCAGACTCTCCCCTTATTCCATCAGCCGTGCAGACCCTCCTCACCCCCACATCAGCTGTGCAGACCCCCTTCACCCTGCCCCATATCAGCCATGCAGACCCTCCTCACCCCATCCCACCCCGGCCGTGCAGACCCCCCCCAGCTGTGCAGACCCTCCTCACCCCACCAGCCGTGCAGACTCTCCCCTTATTCCATCAGCCGTGCAGACCCTCCTCACCCCCACATCAGCTGTGCAGAC